TTAGAGTTAGTTTATAAGAGCTCTCTCTTGGAGAAGAAACCTCACTGTTGCCTTCCTGCTCCGTAAAAACAAAGTGTTATTGAAGCATTTTTTATTCCATAAAATTCCATTTTATTCCATAAAATTCCATTTCCATAAGAAATTTCTTATCTAGTTTAGTATATATTATAACTATTTGGAAGCCTGAGATCTTGAAGAAACAAAAAGGAAGAAGGGGTTATTACTGAATGAAGAAAAGAACAGAGACGATCTGTTAAAAGATCAAAGTTCTCAACATATCCTTACCCAATCCAATCAATCACCAAATCCTGTTGATTTTTCCCCTTGAAGCATTTGTTGAATCTACTCCTTTTTTCCCTTTTTCATTTCCACTGCTATCAGCTTATGTCCTGTCTGGACCACTGCACTAATTTTTAGGAGCTCAGTAGTCAACACCTTTTGTTGTTCCAAGGTAATTCCAGGGAAAAATAAGAAGTTAACCCCACTTTACTTTTTTTTTTCCAAAACAAAATAAAATCTAGGTAAAACATGTATATTCATACCACTTAAATTGATGATGTCATTGAGGAAAAAAATGAAAAAATCATCCTTGGAAAACAATCCTATCTTCACTCTTCTGTTAGGGAAACCAATCTCCTCTGAGGTTGTAAAATCTCCCCTCTAGGCAGCACTAGGCAGGGCAGATTACTAATCAATTTGGAGACACTGCCTCTCTAAAACTGATTTCCATTTGGAAAGTGGTTCTGGAATTTTTCTGTCCTGATACCACTGCTTTGTTTGGATAGACAGGCTACCTTTTACATAAAGGTGCATGGTGTGTGTATATTATATATATATATGTATATATATATAAAAATATATATATAAAACATACACACAAACATATGTGTGTATATACACAAATATATATATTCTGTACTTCCTTATTTTCTCTACCTCTAATTTCTCTGCATCCTTTTAATTTTTAAAATTTTTTTTTAGAGAATAGGTTTTAAAAACTTTTAAAACATTTATTTATTTTTTGAGAGCCAGAGTGTGAGCAGGGGAGGGGCGGAGAGAGGGGGAGAATCCGAAGCAGGCTCCAGGCTTTGAGCGGTCAGCACAGAGCCCAACACTATGCTCAAACTCACGAACCGTGAGATTATGATCTGAGCTAAAGTCCGTCGCTTAACCGACTGAGCCACCCAGGCGCACTTGCATCCTTTTTAATACACTGATTTAATCATGTTATTCCATCACTCAAATTTTTTCCATTCTTTTTGGTCTAGTTATTCACTCAAAATGAGTTAATATTTGAAAGTTCTTAAAGTAGTGCCTGGTACATATTAGGTGCTATATAACTGCCTAAGAAATAAAAATTCGGTTCAAATTGAGCACCTACTATATGCCAGGAAATGTGGTAGAGGTGTGGTATATGTTTAACCAACTGAGCCACCCAGGTGCCCCACAGTAGAGGTGTGGTAAATGGTAGTAAATAAAACAGACATGGCCCCTGCCCTTAGAGGGTTTAGAGGCCTTACTAAGTAACTGTGTATGGCTTAGTCATGAAAATTTATTGCTGACAGGATGTTAGGTCATCTAATCCTATGTTTTCATTTATAAATGAGGAAGCTGAAATCTAAGAAGACAAATGACATCAAAAGTCATAAAGCTGGTAGGAACACAGCAGTGTGCTGGAGCCAGCTTAAACTGTCTCAAAACCATTGTTAAATATTCAGGAAGTTTTTAAGCCAGCTGTTAAATCATTGGTGCCTTGAAATCAGCCATGGTGGGAATATTTACTCCATGGAAATCAGCAAATGGTACAAATCAAGCCGTCTTTTTGTTTCGTTTTGTTTTGTTTTTTAAGGAAAACTGGTCTACCAGGACACTACAGATTTAACCAAACTGAAACTAAGGTTTCCAAAACTCCTTGCCAACTGCTTTTCATTCCAACCTATACCTCCTATAGACACAGGTTCTATATCCTATAAAACCTTTGATCAGGTTCTATATCCTATAGACAGAATTTTTTGTGGTTGGTTCATTACCTATAAATCAAGTTCAAGGGCTACATCTTTAAGTAGCTTTTCTAAGAACACTTTTCCCAACCCTTCCCATTTATTAACATGTTCATGTAGACTGATAGCTTGTTTACAAGTACAAGGGGACATTATCAACATTCCAAAGGCAAGACATTTTTTTAAAAGTTTTTTTTTTTAAATATTTTTTATTTATTTCTAGGAGAGAGAGAGAGACAGCATGAGCAGGGGAGGGTCAGAGAGAGAGGGAGTCACAGACTGAAACAGGCTCCAGGCTCTGAGCTGGCAGTCAGCACAGAGCCCGATGCGGGGCTCGAACCCACGAACCGTGAGATCATGACCCAAGTGAAAGTCCGACTCTTAACCGACTAAGCCACCCAGGCGCCCTCAAAGGCAAGACATTTTTATTTTTATTTTTTATTTTTTTTTATTTATTTTTTTTACAAATAGTTTATTGTCAAATTAGTTTCTACATAACACTCAGTGCTCATCCCCAAAGTGCCCTCCTTCATGCCCATCCCCCCCTCCCCCCCACATCCATCAGTCCTCAGTTTTTGTGGCAAGACATTTTTAAAATTAGTTTTTGAATTCCTAGTTGTTAACAGAAAGTGTAGCATATATAGGTACACAATATATGCTTGATGAATGAATGTAGAAGGAAAGAATAGACACTTTTAGCATGTTCTACTTGTTGAAAGAAAAAGCCAGAACATTAAAAAAAAATCTTGGGCCAAAATGACCAGTTATTTTTTTCTGACTTTACTTTGCATGAAATATACTTAGCAAATTACTACCCTCTCTCATCTCATTTTCTATTTTTTTCATGATAGGTGTACTCTTATCTACCTACTATTAAGACTCAACACTATGAATTGAAAATTGTGATAGTCCAGCCAGGGCAGGGCAGGCTTATCTTTGTACCATGATGAACAGTAATAAAACTATTGGCAACTTTTTTACCTTCTGATTTTCTTCAGGGCAGTAAAGACAAGGTTCTTTAAAAAATATTTCTTATTGGGGCACCTTATTGGCTCAGTGGGTAGAGCATGTAACTTTTTTTTTTTTTAATGTTTATTTATGTATTTGGAAAGAAATAAGACAGGGAAAGGGCCCACGCTGTGGAGGGGCAGAGAGAGAGAGAGTGGGGGGAGAGCGAATCCCAAGCAGGCTCTGTGCTGTCAATGCAAAGCCCCATGTGGGGTTCGATTCTACAAACTGTGATATCATGACCTGAAGCACCCAGGCTCCCCAGAGCATGCCACTCTTAATCTTGGGGTCATGAGTTTGAACCCCACATTGGGTGTAGAGATTACTTAAAAAAATATTTCTTTGTAAAATTAAATTCTAAATCTAGGAGAAAATCTACATCAACTGGTAAGAGGGAGGCACCAGGGAGACCAAGAATAGGGGTTGACAGGGGAAAAAGGAAATTCCACCATCTGAACTTGTTGAGGGTGGACTACAGGAGAGTCATTTTGTAAACCTCCATCAGGAAGTGGGCTGGGCTCAGTCTGTTATAAATCGGTGATTCCAAGAGGCAGATGCAGTGATTCTTTAGTTTATCCAGAAAACTCAAGGTAGAGGGGAGAGAAGAGAAGGAAATTGCTCCAATCTCATCAATGTAAAAGGGGTAATTGAAATTAAGCTTGAAGCTAGTTTCTGAAGTCTCTGATTCTTCAGGACAGTTAGAAGGCTTCAAGTGCAAATGACAGTTGTCACAATTGGTTGAAGCTCTTTTGGACTGAATTTTTATGAGGTCAAAAGTTTGCCTTCAGATAGTAACAACTGGTATACATATTAGCTTTCTGTAGATTGATAGAGGACTTTTAACTGGCATAATCTAATTTAATCTATTAAAGCCACATTAATGTAATCAGCCAATCATTCAACGACTGAAGGTTGCCAAAGGATTTTTGAAATGATGGCAGTAAGAAACAATATACGAAAAGGATTATGTGAAATCAAATCCCAGACTGTAAGGGAAAAGCTGATTATTATTTTTTTAAGTTTAATTTTTGAGAGAGAGAGCGCGCGCGCGTGCGCGTGTGCAAGCAAGGAGGTGCAGAGAGAGCCGAGGACCGAGGATCTGAAGCAGGCTCGGCGCTAGACAGCAGAGAATCCGATGATCGCTAGCGGGGAGATCATGAGCTGAACCTAAATCCGAGGCTTAGTCGACTGAGCCACCCAGGTGCCCCAGACTGACTAATTTTCAGTGGTTTCTACATCGTGGTTTGATAGTCCTCCCATTCAGTCTCTGTAAATCTCCCTCGGTGTTCACATTTGCAGCAACTCAACGTTTAACACCTTGTACCACTTGTCAGGATCACAGTTTAGAAAAAAATTCTGGACCATGCCAGGAGCCACCCAAGTACCTGGACATAAATCCGCGGCAGAAGCGAGTCTTTTGCACTTCTCTACTGGGGGGACGGAGGTGGGGACGGGTTGGATGGAGTAGAAGCCGGGGCTTTCCCACCGAGAGGTTTGCTAGGTGGAATTCATCCCGATCCCATGCTTTTTCTTGCTGGCTTCTGCAACTCCTGCAGGATTGTAGCAAGGGCACATCCCGAAGGAGCAGAGGTATTAATTGCCTCACACCGGCGAAACAAATATCTTGGCTCCATCGCTCTTCTCGAAGGCACTTCACCTCACGCTTCTAAAGCTTTAGGATTTACCTAGAGGCTTCTTGTGCTTTGATTCCACCGCAAGGGTGTCTACCCTCAATGAGGACCTGGCACGAGACTTTTCCTCTTTACAAACAAAAGGTTGAAATGTCCATCGTGGCCGTGAAGAGGGGTGGCTCTAGCGAACAAGGAGCCTAACTTCACAAAAATCTCAGGCCCTGTCCGCACCCCGCGCCCGGCTTTTATCCCTCCACGCCAGCCGACTCCCTCAGACCTGTAGGCGTGACCAAAGCCAAGGACTACAAATCAGAGAATTCTGGGGGAAGGAAGTGACGACATTGCGCAAAGCATGCTGGGCTCCGACGGGCGCTGCTGAGGAGACTGCTTCCCTACCGCGTGGTTCCTGGGTGTCTTTCGCTGCTAGGAGTTATAACTGGTATTTTCCTCGTTTGTCGGGATTAAACATTAAGCACCACTGGGTTTGAGTACTGCTCTAAGTATCGTGCAGCTGCAAGCTAGGTCAGGGAACCTGGGCTCTAGAGCCTTCGCTGCTGTCCCCTGTTTGTGCTTCTTCCAAACAAAAAAGAGGGACTTGTCACAAATCCGAGGCCTCTCCCTGGTGGGATCCAGCGGAGAAACAGCTAGAGAGAGCGAGTGGGTGGATATCAAAGGAGTTTTCTTTTTCAGGTTTGGCTAAAAGTGGTTTGGAGAGCAGACAGTTAAAGGGTTTGAACATCTGTGGACCGGAGTTCAGAGTCAGGGTGAAGGCGATCTGGAGTGGGACTGGGTGGTGGAATAGAAGTAAGCCGGATAAGTTAGCCCCATGGCAACTCGGTATCTCATTAGCTTTCGGATTGAATTGTGAATATCAGCTGTTTTTCTGATACGGAACTTGGGGCAAATCACAGATGTTCTCTATGCCTAGGATAGAGATTAGGGGTTTGCTTGAGTGGAACATATATATTAACCCGGACCGGTGGTGGTTTTTGATCTAGTCAGCTGGCAGCCATGAATGAATGGATGACGAAAGGCCCTTTAGATTGGCAAGATTACACGTACAAAGAAGTCAAAGTGAGAGCCAGTGAAAAGGATTATAAAGGATGGGTTTTAACCACAGACCCAGTTTCTGCCAAGTGAGTATGGGTGCTGCCTCCCAGGAATCATAATGACACCCCTTTGTGCTGCGTGTATGTTATATCCGAATTAAGGAAGTAGATAAATGAAAGGCAGGTAAGAATTCACGTGTAAGAATTGTATTGCCTATGAATCTAAATGCCCAAACTATGGATTGCTTTGGCACTAGCCAGGTTTGTAGAAGTGAGACACTTCTTTTGTGCCTACGTTTTTATTAGAAAAATCTCATACATAAATGGAGAGAGAATAGGATAACAGACATTAGCTGTACCTTCTAAATATCTTTAAGCCAGTTTCACATCTCATTTAATTTTGTTCATAAATACCTCAATGTAACTCTTAATAGATAAGAACTGTAATAAATGTTACCACAACACCATTATAATTTTATTCACAAATACATCAGTATATCTTTTAGCAGATGAAGACTCTTTAATAACCACAATAACATAATACCTAATCAAAGTAATAATAACTTTATTAACAGTCCATGTTTAGATTTGCCTTGTCTCAGAAGTAACTTTTTATATTGGTTTATCAATTTAGTTGATAATGTTTCATAAGTATCTTTGATCTGTGACTCTGCACTTTCTCTTTTTAGTTTTTATTTTTTCCCCATTATTTTGGAGACAGAGTGAGAGCTAATGAGTTGGGGAGAGGGGTGAAGGGAGAGAGAATCTTAAGCAGATTTCATGCCAAGTGTGGAGTCTGACCCTGGGATCAACACCTGAGCTGAAATCAAGAATCAGACACTCAACCAATTGTGCCTCCCAGGAGCCGCATCTTTTTAGTTTCTCATGTCATTTATTGAAGAAATGGAATCATTGTCTTACAGAGTTGAACCCACATTCTGAATTTAGCTTATTGCATTCTCACGGTGTAGTTTATCATGTTCTTTTATCCTCTGCATTTCTATACACTGGTATTCATATCCAGAGGTTTGATTAGGATCGGATTTGTTTCTTGCAAGACTACTTTTTGTGTGGTGATACACACTTTTTTTTTTTTTTTAAACCTTGGAATGGTTTTAGATTTATAGAAAAGGAAGTGTGGAGAGGACTGAGAGGACTCTTCTACTCAGCTTCCCCTAACGTTGGCATCTTAACCGTGGTACGTTTCTCAAAACTAAAAATTTACATTAACTAAAGAGCTTTCATTTGGATTTTAAGTTTTTCCACCAATTGCCTTATTCTGTTCCAGGATCCAGTCTAGGATCGCACATTACGTTTAGTCATCATGTGTCCTTAGTCTCTGATCTGTGACAACTTTTCAGTCTTTCTTTGGGTTTCATTACCTTGACACTTTGAAGAGTACTGATGAGGTGTTTCATACAATGTCTCTCAATTTGGGTTTGTGTGATGTTTTCTCATAAATTGCCTGGGGCTGTAGGCTTGGGGAAGAGTACCACAGAAGTGAAACCCTCTTCACATCACATTGCATCATATCACGTATTTTATTTAGTTAGGACTTTTGATTTGTATTCATGAGTGAGATTAGTTTGTAGTTTTGTTTTTAAGTTATCTCTGCTTTTGGGATTAGCCTCATTTAACTTAACGATTTAAGGCACAGTCCTCCTTTTATAGTCTCTGGAAGAGTTTGGTTAGATAATAAATGTTTGAAGCTTGGAGTGCCTGACTGGCTCGGTCGGTAGAGCACGCGACTCTTGATCTTCAGGCTGTGGGTTTGAGCACCACATTGGGTGTGGAGATTATTTAAAAATAAAATCTTGAAAAAAATGTTTGAGCCTTAAAAATTGTATATAATTTTTTGGTAGAACAGCCTTTTTTCCCCCCCTCTTATGGGAAATTTTTTTTTTAATATTTTATTTATTTCTGAGGGAGACACACAGTGTGTGCAGGGGAGGGTCAGAGAGAGAAGGAGATACAGAATCTGAAGCAGGCTCCAGGCTCTGAGCTAGCTGTCAGCACAGAGCCTGATGTGGGGCTTGAACCCACCAACTGTGAGATCATGACCTGAGCTGAAGTCGGATGCTTAACCAACTGAGCCACCCAGGCACCCCGGGAAAATATTTTTAAGTACTTATTCAGTTTTTATTAAAGATTATAGGACTATTTGTATTCTCTCTTTTTTGGCTCAGTAGAAGTTTATATTTTCTTTCCTTTTTTTTTTTTTTAATTTATTTTTGAGAGAGAGAGAGAGAGAGAGAGAGACAGCGTAAGCAGGGGAGGGTCAGAGACAGAGGGAGTCCCAGAATCTGAAGGCCCTGAGCTGGCTGTCAGCACAGAGCCCGACGCAGGGCTCAAACCCACGAACCGTGAAATCATGACCTGAGCCAAAGTTGGACGCGTAACCGACTGAGCTATTCAGGTGCCCCAGAAATTTATATTTTCTAGGAAGTTTTCTGTTTTAATTTTCAAAACGAGTGTCGTAAATTTGTTCCTATACTTTATATGCCAATCTTTGCTCCCTTTTTTCTCTATTCTAATTAATCTTGTCTGAGTTATGTGAATTTTACAGGTTTATTTTTTCTTAAAAAATTTTTTTAACATATAATACATATATTTATTTTATTTTTGAGGGAGGCAGAGCACGAGTAGGGGAGGGGCAGAGAGAGAGGGAGACACAAAATCCAAAGTAGGGACCAGGCTCTGAGCTATTAGCACAGAGCCCTATGCAGAGCTTGAACCCACGAACTGAGAGATAACCTGAGCTGATGTTGGACGCTTGACCAACTGAGCCACCCAGGTGTCCCTACATGGTTTTTTTTTTTTTTTCCCCCTCAAAGAGCCAACATTTGGCTTTGGTGATCTTGTTATTAACTCTTTTGTTTTCTATTTCATTAATTTTATGTTTTGTTATTTTCTTTGCTCTACTTTGAAGGTGAGTTACTCAGTTGTTGAACTCTCAAAGTCTGTACCCTTCTTTTTTAATATATGTTTAAGCCATTTATAACTCTTTAATGCTTTAACTGCATCCTGCATTGATTGGCTTTAGGCTAGACAGAAAGTTTAGATGTGGGGCCCCTGGGTGGCTCAGTTGGTTAAGTATTTGACTTTGGCTCAGGTCATGATCTCACAGTTCATGATTCGAGCCCTGCGTTGGGTTCTGTGCTGACAGCTCAGAGCCTGGAGCCTGCTTCAGATTCTGTGTCTCCCTCTCTCTCTGCCCCTCCCCTGATCACACTCTGTGTCTCAAAAATAAATAAACAACAACAGAAAAAGAATTTAGATGTATAGGACCCTCAGTGAATACTTAATGACCAAGTACAAACATTTGATGATGAGGGGACTAATTTTAAACAGGGAAAGTTATTAATAGGGAAAAGAATTCCCTATTTTAATTACCTGTTGGGGCTGGTAATGCCTCTTATTCCATTGCTGCTTTTATGGGACTTTAGGTGTTCTATTTTGCAAATCTGCTCTGAACTTAACTTTTCCTCCAAAGTATTGTCCTCGTGAACTTCCTAGAAGATGGCAGCATATCTGTGACTGGAATTATGGGCCATGCCGTGCAGACTGTTGAAACTGTGAACGAAGGGGACCATGAAGTGAGAGAGAAGCTGGCACGTTTGTTCATGTCTGGAGACTGCAAGGAATATAGCCCTGAGGATCTGGAGAAGAGAAAGAACAGCCTCAAGAAATGGCTCGAGAAGAACCACATTCCCATCACTGAACAGGGAGATTCACGAAGAACTCTCTGTGTGGCTGGGGTTCTGACTATAGACCCCCCGTATGGTCCCGAAAATTGCAACAGTTCTAATGAGATCATTTTGTCCCGGGTTCAGGATCTTATTCAAGGACATCTTGCAGCTACCCAGTGAGAAGCCAAGAACTATGGATATACACCCATTGGAATAAGACTTCATCTTTATTTTTTCCTTCATGAAGTGTTTTGAATGTTAAATCTGTCATAAGACTTCAGAGGCACGTGTGTGTGTGAGAGAGAGAGTTTTAATTCTCTGTTGTTTTGGTAAAATCAAAGATGTGGATTATGAGTGCTAATAACTGTGGCTAGGATAGTATCACAGGCAACAAAACAGCACAGGGACATTAGGATTGGAGGAGTCTTGGTGGGGATACACCTCCATTTTTGTTGCACAAGAAATGTATTTGGAAGCAATGCAACATGTTAGAGTCCATATAAAATGTTAAGTCCCTTGCACTAACTGTATGTGTCTGTTTTAAAATGTTTGTTTGTTTATTGAGTGATGATGAAATAACGTTTGAATCAATTTGAGTGTCTTTTCAGGGCCATGTCTAGAGTCACCCCAGGGTGCTTACATCAGGCCTCTGACTCCCTAGGAAAAGGGTCCAGTCTGCTGCCTCCATTTATTAAAATATCGTTGGAACACAGCCTTATCCACTAGTTGGTGTATTTTCTGTGGCTGCTTTTGAGCCGTAATGGCAGTTCTGAGTGTCGTGACAGAAACTAAATGGGTTATATTTACAGAAAAATACAGCCCTTTACGGAAGGTTTAGCCTAGGGAAGTCCTTGAAGTAGCCTGGCCTGCCAAGGGTTGGGGCAGACTTCCCAAGTTTTGACCTGGATAGGCCGCTCAGGCTGCTACAGGGCTGAACTCCCCCTTCTCCCTGCTCTGTCCGTAGGGATTCAGCTGTGCAAATAGACCTTTCAGTTGTCACGCATGTCCCTTAGCATTCAGACAAAAAAAGAAGTGGTACCTTTGGGAAGAAATACTTTAAAGTATTCAGGTTTAGGGGCGCCTGAGTGGCTCAGTCAGTTGAGCATCTGACTTCGGTTCAGGTCATGATCTCACAGTTCGTGGGTTCGAGCCCTGTGTTGGGCTCTGTGCTGACAGCTAGCTCAGAGACTGGAGCCTGTTTCAGATTCTGTGTCTCCCTCTCTCTGACCCTCCCCTGCTCACACTGTCTCTCTCAGAAATAAATAAAACATTAAACATTTTTTAAAAATATTCAGGTTTATGGGGTCTTGGAAGGCAGCTTGATAACAGCTGTTTCCTGCTCGGTTGTCTAATGACAGGAGGAGGCCTCACGCTTCTCACGCTTTAGCAAATCTCGGAATCAGCTGGAGAGCTTGTTAAAACGGATTCCGGGACCCTCCTCCCACTGGATTCTGACTCGGTAGGTCCCAGTTGGGGCCCAGGTATTTGCGATTCTAGTAAGCTCCCAGATAATGGTGATGCTGTTTGTCTCAGACCACACTTGCAAAGCAGTTGAGAAACTTTGGGGGAACAGGAAGTCCTTACCTCACAACTTTAAGGTTCCCATGATCCTAAAAACATTTAGTGCGTAGCCTTTCCGCTTGTGACTAAGACTCACCCGTTCAAATGCTGGAATGTCTTCAGAAAGCAAAGAGGGGAAGGGGAATAAAAACAAATTAAATTTAGTGTGGAAATGATTGTGGCAAAATGAGGGAGGCCTTGAGATGAGAGAAGCCATGTAGGAAACTGCCCACAGCATCAGTCCGGCTTGAGCCCTGGTCCAGGGACAGGTGCACCGATGTTGGTAGATTTGTTTGCTGTCGGACTCACAAGCTGGGGACAGAGACTGTTTCTTGGCAACTGAGTCCTCCGATTGTTTAAACAGTGTGCCTGCAAACAAGCCTGAATGCTAAAAAGGGTAAACGACCTGGCTCTGCCAGGGAAACCTCTTATTCTTAGCGTTTTGTCCTGTTTCTTTGTGTTTCTAGTATTTGCTCAAATGGAAGTAGCTGCCAATTCTATGATTATGGCATACATGCACTGCTTTTTACTTATTTTAGCATAATTTCAGATTTACAGGAAATTTGCAAGAACAGGACACAGAATTCCCATACAGTCTGCTCTCAGCAATGGTAACGTTTTACATTTGTATTTTCTGTGGATGTGCATGTGTGTTCATTTCCCTCCACCCCACATCCCCCTGAACCGTTTGAGAGTAAATTATGGACACAGTGGGAGAATGAGGACATTTTCTTAAATAACCATAGCACAGTCATCAGAATCAGGATATGAACATTGATATGGTGCTGCGATTTAATACACCCCTTATCCAGATTGTTTCAGTGTCCTTTGTTGCAAAAATCCAAAAACAACAAAATGCAATTTTTAAAATTTGACCATGTATCATGCTCAGTTATATTCCTTCCTTTGATCTAGAATAGTTCCTTAGTACTTTGACTTTTGGGACATTGATATTTATTTTGTGGAATAACTCTCAATTTGGGTTGTCTCATGTTTCTTTATGATTCGATTTGGTGTATGATTTTTTTGGGGGGGGTAGAAATACTCTGGAAATGATAGTGTATTCTCAATACATCATATAAGGAGGCACATAATATTGATTTATCCCATTTCCGGTTAACTGCGGTCACTTGGTGACGGTGGTATCGGTCAGGTTTCTCCACTGTAAAGTTATTATTTTTTAAATTATTATTTATTTTAAAATCAGCTTTTTTTCCAAAGTTGATTTAATTTTGAAAGGAGAGAGAGAGAGAGCATGCAAATGAGGGAAGGGCAGAGAGAGAGGAGAGAGAATCCCATGCAGGCTCCACACTGTCAGTGCAGAGCCCCCATGCAGGGCTCAAACTCACAAATCCGTGAGATCATGACCTGAGCCAAAATCAAACAGTGGGATGCTTTAATTGACTGAGCCACCCAGGCACCCCAAGTAACTATTTTTTTAAGTTAATTTTTTTAGTAATCTCTATACCCAATGTGGAGCTCTAACTTATGACCTCGAGATCAAGAGTTGCATACTCTTCTGACTAAGCCAGGTGCCACACTTTTTTTTTGTTTAATTAAAAGCATCTTACAACATTTTTAAATTTTTTACTTATTTATTTTTAAAGATTTTAAGTAATTTCTAGACTCAGCATGGGGCTCAAACTCAAAACCCTGAAATCAGGAGTCATGTGCTCTACTGACTGAGCCAGCCAGATGCCCAACATTTTTTTTTTTAATTCTTTATTTTATTTTACTTTTAAGCTTATTTATTTTGAGAAAGAGAAAGAATCCCAAGCAGGCTCTGCACCAGCAGTGCAGAGCCCAATGCAGGGCTCGAACTCACGAACCATGAGCTGAGCTTAACTGACTGAGCCACCCAGGCACCCCACCCCAACATTACTTTTTAAAAAGAACTTTATTGCGGTATTAATATGATAAAATTTATTCACTTTAAATGTGTCACTCAGCGATCTTTAGTAAGTTTACAGAGTTGTGCAGCCATCATCACAATGCTTTTTTTTATTAAACACTTCCGTCACCCCCACCAGATTCTTTATCTCATTAGTAGTCAATTCCTATTCCCAGCCTCAGCCCGAGGCAACCACTGCTCTACTTTCTGTATCCATAGGTTTGGTGTTTTTGTACATTTCATATGAATGGAATCACACCATATGTGGTCTTTGTGTTTGGCTTCTTTCACTTAGCATAGTGTTTTTGAAGTTTACCCATGTTGTAGCATGTGTCAGAGGCTCTTTTTTATTACTAAATAATATTCTATTGTGAATATACTGCCTTTTGTTTATTCATTCACCATGGATATTTGGGTTGTTTCCAGTTTGGGGCTATTACGAATAATGCTGCTGTGAACATTTGTTAAAAGTCTCTGTGCAGACATATGTGTTCGTTTCTCTTACGTGAAATACCCAGGAGTGCAGTTGCTGGGTTATATGATAAATTATATCTAACTTTCTAGGAAACTCAAGCTACTTCCTAATGTGGCTGTACCATTTTACATTCCATCAGCATAGTATGAGAGTTCCACCTTCTCTGCACTCTTGTTATTGCGTGTGATTCTAGAGGTTATGAAGTAGTGTCTCATTGTGGTTTTCATTTGCATTTCTCTAATGACTAATGATGTTGAGCATCTTTTCATGAGCTTATTGGCCATTTGTATATCTTTGGTGGAATATTTACTCAAATATTTTGCCCATTTTAAAAATTGAGTTGTATTCTTTATATATTCTAGATATAAGTAATATTGAAATATACGGGGGCACAAGAGAATGGGGGAGGAGAGGAGAGAGGGAGACAGAATTCTAAGCAGGCTCTGTGCTGTCAGCGCAGAGCCCAAGGTAGGGCTCAATCTCACAAACCATGAGATCCTGACCTGAGCTGAAATCAAGAGTTGGGAGACTTAACTGAGTGAGCCACCTTGTCTTGTATTTTCTTAGTGATGTTTTTGAACTTCAGAAGTTTAAGAAGTTGACTAAGTATGATTTATCATTTTTTTGTTCTTTCGTGGATCATGCTTTTAGTATTCGTGGCTAAGAACTAACCTAAGGTCATATAGATTTTCTGTTTTCTTTTAAAATATTTAATTAGCTTTTAGCTGTGCCTGGGTGTCTCAGTTGGTTAAGCGCTCAACTTCGGCTCAGGTCATGATCTTACAGTTCGTGGGTTCGAGCCCTGCATCAGGTTCTGTGCTGATAGCTGGGAGTCTGGATCCTGCTTCGAGTTCTGTGTCTCCTTCTCTCTCTGCCCCTCCCCCATTCATGCTCTGTCTGTCTGTCTCTCTCAAAAATAAATAAACATTAAAAAAATTAGCTTTTAAATTTAGGTTTATATTCCATTTTGAGTAAATGTGTATGGTGTGAAGTCAGGGTCCAAATTCATCTTTTGCATGAGGATATCCAATTATTCTAGTATCATTTGTTGAAAAGACTTATTTCTCCATTGAATTGCCTTGGTACTTTTGTTAAAAATCAGTCTATCATATGGCACAAAAACAGACACTCAGATCAATGGAACAGAATAGAGAACCCAGAAATGGACCCATAAATGTATGGCCAACTCATCTTTGACAAAGCAGGAAAGAATATCCAATGGAATCAAGACAGTCTCTTCAGCAAGTGGTGCTGGGAAAATTGGATGGTGACATGTGGAAAAATGAACCTGGACCACTTTCTTACACCATACACAAAAATAAGCTCAAAATGTAAGGCAGGAAGCCATCAAAGTCCTTGAGGAGAAAGCAGGCAAAAACCTCTTTGACCTTGGCCACAGCAACTTCTTACTCAACATGTCTCCAGAGGCAAGGGAAACAAAAGCAAAAATGAACTATTAGGACCTCATCAAGATAAAAATCTTCTACACGGCAAAGGAAACAATCAGCAAAACTAAAAGGCAACTGACGGAATGGGAGAAGATATTTGCAAATAACATACCAGTTAAAGGGTTAGTATCCAAAATCTATAAAGAA